TGACCCTATGGATTGCAGCAGTGTTCTAGCCAGGAAATATTTGTTGGGGGGGGGGGGAGGGGGAGGTGGGGGTTGGTGCAAAGGAAAACAAACAGTTCATATATTTTTCATGTTCCAGTACATGTATTGCCTTGTCATCCAGAAATGGTACGTATGGGTGCAACAAGCACCCGGAATGATCAATTTGCGGCACCTTTTTCGTTGTGTGAACTAAAAACAAACAATATTCGAAAACAATGAGTGTTCTATCAGAGTAGAGAGGGGGGGGGGGGGGTGCACCTCCTATCCTCCCCTACTTCGGCAAGAACCCAGGATTGTTGTCAGCTTGTGCCCCTCGGCATCTTCTCTTGCATTTTCTTGTCAGGTTGTTTCTTTCCTCCTTTGTATTGTCTGATAAGGCGCTGTTTCAAACATCGGTGTTTGACTTCAAATCATTCCCCCTAACAAAGGCATATGAGCTCCCATAGCTCAGTCGTTTAGAGCGTCGTGCTAATAACGCGAATGTCGCAGGTTCGAGCCCTGCTGGGAGCACGCTCTTCTTTTCTTCACATTTATCCCCCCTACTTTGGCAAGAACCCTGGATTGTTGTCAGCTTGTGCCCCTCGGCATCTTCTCTTGCATTTTCTTGTCAGGTTGTTTCTTTCCTCCTTTGTATTGTCTGATTATGCTCTGTTTCAAACATCGGTGTTTGACTTCCAATCACGCCCCCTAAGGCGGTGTTTACATGAGGCGTTTCAACCCGGGTTGAGTTCGACCCGGGTCAGATTTCAACCCGCCATGTGCACAAAGTGAATGGCGCGTTTACATGACGCATTGCGCTTGACCCGGGTTGAAATTTCAACCCTCCCCCCAAGGGGAGGGTTGAAATCAACCCGGGTCAAGAAAATTGTACAAACGTACTTCTGTGCGTATCTCGCGCCAGGTTTGAACGGCACTGCAGATGCAAATTTCGCGCGAACGGATTCACGTGACCATACAAGACTGTAGAAGTGGACTTTTGGCGGCATATCAGTATTTGACCCGGGTCAACTGTCTTCATGTAAACGCTCACCTCTTTTGTCTATCGTACAGACTTTCAACCCGGCCTGAACTCGACCCGGGTTGAAATTTCTCATGTAAACACAGCCTCACAAAGCCATATGAGCTCCCATAGCTCAGTCGGTTAGAGCGTCGTGCTAATAACGCGAATGTCGCAGGTTCGAGCCCTGCTGGGAGCACGCTCTTTTTTTCTTCACATTTCTCTCCCCTACTTTGGCAAGAACCCTGGATTGTTGTCAGCTTGTGCCCCTCGGCATCTTCTCTTGCATTTTCTTGTCAGGTTGTTTCTTTCCTCCTTTGTATTAGACATCCTTAGCAAAAGTACGATAACGCTAACTTTTACGGTGCTCACTCCCAGCCGTGACAAAAGACGTTATCGGATAACGGAAAAACGTTACAGAGCTCAAAATAACGGGCCGACGTTCGTTATGGAAATTCTGCAAAAAAATGCAAAAACTCGCATTTTTTTGTAACTGGCGGGAGATAAAAAGCACGTCGACGTGCAGATCGAGATGAGATCGAGAGTCGAGATTGCTTCCTCTTGTGACACTTAGCTTTTTGGCGAGTTTTGCCTTTCAGTTGACAATTTCTGCGTCCTCTGCTTCGTGCCGTTCTCCCTCTATCCCATCTGGGAAACAAAGGACCAGTTCCGCGGCACTCCTGAGGAAGAAATTCATCGGCCTCTCCCAGACGTGCTGGAGCTGGAGAACCCTTACAGTCTTCGGTGCTGCGTTTAGGAAAGGGTTTCCAAGGACCTGGGAACAGCGAAAACTCATGTTCGCCGTGCTTTTGCTATTCCAGAGTAAAAGACCTCGCCAAGGTATTCTTTCGGAACGACAGCAAACTAATCCCTGGTTCAAAATTTTGAATTTCCCGCATCTGTTTCCACGAAAATTCATATCGCCATGGTTGTCACGACTACTTCGTCTCAACTATAACGTACTTTGTGCTAAGGGAAAAGTCAGCTTGAACGATCCGAAGTACGGAAAGGTTTGCGTTTACGTTAGCGTTTTTTTAGCTAAGGATATCTAATGTCTGATTATGCGCTGTTTCAAACATCGGTGTTTGACTTCAAATCATTCCCCCTAACAACGGCATATGAGCTCCCATAGCTCAGTTGGTTAGAGCGTCGTGCTAATAACGCGAATGTCGCAGGTTCGAGCCCTGCTGGGAGCACGCTCTTTTTTTCTTCACATTCATCCCCCTACTTTGGCAAGAACCCTGGATTGTTGTCAGCTTGTGCCCCTCGGCATCTTCTATTGCATTTTCTTGTCAGGTTGTTTCTTTCCTCCTTTGTATTGTCTGATTATGCTCTGTTTCAAACACCGGTGTTTGACTTCAAATCATGCCCCCTAACAAAGCCATATGAGCTCCCATAGCTCAGTCGGTTAGAGCGTCGTGCTAATAACGCGAATGTCGCAGGTTCGAGCCCTGCTGGGAGCACGCTCTTTTTTTCTTCACATTTATCTCCCCTACTTTGGCAAGAACCCTGGATTGTTGTCAGCTTGTGCCCCTCGGCATCTTCTCTTGCATTTTCTTGTCAGGTTGTTTCTTTCCTCCTTTGTATTGTCTGATTATGCTCTGTTTCAAACATCGGTGTTTGACTTCAAATCATTCCCCCTAACAAAGGCATATGAGCTCCCATAGCTCAGTCGGTTAGAGCGTCGTGCTAATAACGCGAATGTCGCAGGTTCGAGCCCTGCTGGGAGCACGCTCTTTTTTTTCTTCACATTTATCTCCCTCGTAAAATGACTCATGTGTGCGTGCTATGCTCAATCTTCCAGGAATCCGCACTCGCTTCAACTCGACATGCATGACCGACATGCTGGGTTCGTTTGGTCTCGAGCGCCACACGGTCCGCACTTACGAGAAGAAGCTCGGCGATGGCAAAGCAGACATCTATACACTGCGCAGCAAGCCGAGTAGAGCAGTGATGATGCTGGAGCGTTACGGCATCTTTGAGAGTGCCGAGAGAGCCAGGTTGCTTCTTTGTCTTACAGCGGGGCAGCAAGCATTCGGTAAGGGTCACTGATAGCTGGAAATGCTCCTGCTGCTGTGTCTTTTAGGTACTGTCAGATCTCACTTATCAGGTCCTCTTTTATCCGGATCCGTCGCTATCTGGAAGAAAATACTTCCTCCGTTAACAAAAACTTCGTGATGGATTTTTGAGGGGCTGGTTTGCGCACAAACTGCCGTGAAATGAGTCGCAATCACTTTCTTGGCCTTCCCTGGCGGCCCAGTGGCGGGCCATGAAAAAGGTACGATTCAAGGAAAGCGACCTTTCACAACAAGACGAGCGGAATCGATGGTTGCGCTGTGGAAACATAGGTGATGACAGTTATGGCGAGCGAAACTGAAACACCACTTCTCCGAGGGGATATTGCGTTGCCAAGCCTCTCTACTACTCTTGCACTCAGTAAGTTGGAGAGTGATAACGAGCGATCAAACGGAGCAACGAGTCCACACAATGAGCGAGTGAACAAGGAGCTGCTCCGATTGCACGGCTCAATGAAAATAATTCTGAGCTCAAGTTCTTGTTCAACCTGCGCAAAGCCCAGATTCGAATGCTGATGACCATGTATTCTTTCAAAAGTCTGCAGTCTGATGCAAGTCTCGTGGCTAAAGAAAGTCGACTGGACTTGCTAGCCGCTGCCGTTCAGTGCTGGCAGGGGTATCCATCAGAGAAAATTGAAACAGTTTTGGCTGTGCCTTTACTCCTCGTTTCGCGGAGATCTGGAGAGCGAAGATGAAACCAGGGAGTCGTAAATATTTTTACGACTCCCTGGTGGAAACGAGGAATCGCCATCGCGGCGGATCACGCAGCTTGAAAGCCAACTTACTTGAACGACGGCAACATCAAGGTCAGCGGAGTGTGATCAAAGAAGCCGAGGCAAGGCTGAAACGAGCTGAACAATGATTCGAGAGAGATGACGACTCGCGTGCAGCAGATGACGACAGCGACGCAGGGTCAAAAATGAGTCGAGCGAAAGCGACGCAAACTGAACTCTCTGCTCATTTCGCCAACAGATTCTCTTGTAAAGACGCTGTACATGGCTGAATCACCTTTGTCCAGTGATTTGCAGTCGATACAAACTGGTATTGACCTGTTCTAAGCGTTTTCATAGCCATCAAAATCCATCACGAAGTTTTTGCTAACGGAGGAAGTAGCTGGTTACAGATTTACAGCATCTGTGGTGCATCCACTGAACATAACCAGTGTTCGGTTATCCGGTTCCCTCGCCTATCCGGACATTTTTGTGGAAAAAGAAGGTGTGCGTATAAAAGAGGTCTGACTGTACCGTAATGTTGAGTATTAAAGCCGGGCATATCCATGTAGATGCCGATGTCAGGGCTAGGCTTCTGTTCAAACCAGGCACCGTATTTCCCCGTAAGTTAGTACGTACTAACTTTCGAACTTAGCAGCCACATGAGTACTAACTTTCGGGGAGTACTTTTTATCGGGGGTAAATGACACGCAGTGGGAAGCCTGCGCAACTCTAGTGTCCGTGCATATGATGTATGTACTGTACGGTGTCTGTACATGTAGGACGGGTACGAACTTACTATCTTTCGGGGGGAACTGTCTTTCGGGGTGATAACCTCGGCAGTGGAAAGTGTATTTTTTATAGGGGGGTACTAAGTCATTGGGGAGAACTAACTTACGGGGAAATACGGTACTACTATGCACATTTATGTGAACACTAGAACCAAGCATATGTGCGGAATGTGTATCTTGAAAATCAGGCTTGTATTCAAAGCAGGCTTCATTATGAGAAAGGCTTTTATGCAAGACCTTGCCGGTCATGTTTACATTCAGGACGGATAGTTCCAAGGTGTTTTTATGGAGTTGTCACTCACAGTTGAGCGCTCTAGATATCAAATTCTGTCATTCTGTCAGTGGGTTCATGTGGTGGTTGTGCACTCAAATTGCTCTCGTGTAATATGTGCAATGTTCCTCACAGGTTGTGACGTGCCGAACCCATGTCAGAATGAAGGTCGCTGCGTTTTCAGCCAACATTCCTATGACAAGTTCATCTGTGACTGTCGGCCGGGGTACAAAGGACATAGCTGTCAATTCGGTATGTGGGACAACTTTTTTATTGTGTTCTAAGGTTGTCGGTGTGGTTGCCTGTTGTTCCTATGTTTCCTTCACTTCCTCTGGATTGCTGTCTTAGTTTCCTTTTCAGAACAACACAATTGATCCTCAGTCTCTCATTTCAGCTTGCAGTTTCATGAAATTGGGTATCCAGGGTTTAAAGCACAGGGCTATCTTCGACTATGTTGACCTCAATATCGTGAAAAGTGCAAATCTAAGAGCGGTAAACAAATCAGCAATTTAGAAATGGCACAAGCGGTGTCGCTTGGACTGAAAGTCTTGGTCGGACGGATCAAAGGGATTGTGAGCACACTTGAATGCACGACATTTCAATCACCTTTTGCTAATGCACATGGTTTTTGTTCCTTTTGTACTCGTAATCTACTTAGTACACGTTCGTGCAGAGCTCACTGACTTGTCAGTTTGAGCTCTCTGGCAAGATAGGTTCGGGCCTTGTTTAAATCTGGCTTTGAAAAAAATGCATTTTTCATTGCTATCAGGTTCGGCCTCATTTTTTCTGTGCTGCGCTGGCGAGTCCACAAAGGACGAAACAGTTCTGTCCGCAGATTGAGTAAGAGTACATGGTCTATATTTTTTGTTGTTTTTTACTGCATGGACAGATGTGTGCAATTCTGATCCATGCCAGCATCATGGTAGCTGTTTTCACTCTAGTGAAGGTTACGAATGCAGATGTAAACCAGGATTCGCTGGGCCAAATTGTGAAATTGGTGAGTGCAAACTGATATGATTGTATAGATTTTATAGACCGATTAGGAGGTCTATACAGAACATTGTGGACGGAGTAAAAGGCCGAAGTCCCTCTAGGAATGTGTTTACACGTTTTGGTACCACTGACACTGTGCATAAGTACTGTACGCTGCTGTAATGAAATCCAGTCGCGTCACTCAAGTACGCGCCGGGCGTTGCGCAGCCCTAGACCTCTGAACACTGGGCAGCGAATGGTGCAAGGCGCAAACGTGAGTGACGCGACTGGATTTCATTGAGCAGCGCTGTACTATATGCTGCTGCAATGGATTCTTGAAACGAATGACCCCTACTTGCATGTGTATAAATCTCCTTTCAGCGGTGTAATCTCCTTCGGTACCCCAACTCGGTTCAAGTGGGACTCGGAATTCGCTGCAGTACCTGGACAAATGTTGAAGTAGAGTGCATTGCATAATGACATTTTCGTGAACATTTCGGTGTCAGGAAATGAATTACAGACAGGCCATTTGCCTTTGGACTTACATTATAAAAAAGAATGTCTGAGGGATACTACTGATCGGACATCGGTCATCTTCATGTGACTCAACCCGCCTCACGCAAAACTGTTGAATAAACCGTCAATTCCAGCAATTCACATTGATGAATTGCTTTGTTTGTCTTCTCTTCCGTTTCAGACCAAGACGAGTGTTTATCGTCGCCTTGTACCAATGGCGGTACGTGTGTGGATTTGGAGAACGGCTTTCGTTGCAAGTGCCAGCCTGAATACGGAGGAAAGCGGTGCCATAAACGTAAGTACTGGACGCCCCCTCCCCCTCCCCCCCCCCCCACACACACACCCGGACCAGTCCTCACTGCTCTCCGAGTGGGGGTGGTTCCGGGGGTTCCACTGAACCCCCTAAATTTCGCAAATATGCTAGCTGAAATCATATGCATGTACACCGTACCTTGTTAATCCAGGCGGTCCAGGACCGGGCCCTGCCCTAACATTGAAATGTCTGTAAGGGGTCGTCCACAAATATCGATGTTTTTTTAGAGAAGATATTCGTTCGTTTGGGGGGGGGGAGGGGGTTTGGGCCCTGTTCGTCTCGTCTTTGCAGAAAAAAATATCGAACTCTGTCTATGGACGGGCGCTGTTCGAACATGTAGTTTATGACCTACACAAAGTGAAAGTCAACCTCGTGAGCATAGCCATGGCAAGGTTGTGCGACCGTGGCAACATAAACCTAGGTGTACGGTGAAATTAGAGTGGCAGCTGGTCACGTTTCATGAGGAAATTGAACTTCATTACAAAATATCAATCCCTTGCATAAACATGTGTATGTTCGTTTTGAGGGGGGAGGGAGGGGGTCTGGGGAGAAATGAACAAATATCGTCTTGAAAAAAACATCGATATTTACGGACGGCCCCTAACTCCAAATCACATGCATTATGATGTGTGAAAGCCATAGATGAGGCATATAATGTCATTAGCCCTTTGTGGACGGACTGTACGAGTTTCGATCTAATAAGATCGAAACTTCGTAACTTCGTAACTCCATCGTTTCTTGACCAAATTCCACAATCGAAGGGTCTACGTGGTAGCGGGAACTCCAAGCTGTCCAATGCAACAATCGCCGAAGAGTTACAATGTCGGACGCCAGAGATATCGCACGCCGTATTCTTACCTCGGCAAATTCAAATTTTTGATCGATCATTTCGCCATTTTGGGGGAAAATCCCTTTTCGTGTGCTCTTTGAGCGACTGAGCACATGATAATGACGTAGCCGGCTGAAGTTTGAATCGTCTCAAACAGATTTGAGCGTTCTGCGATGAAGGAGAGTGGAATGGCGTAGATGGGACGAATTTCCTTGCATATCAGGCTTGGAGACGACTTTGCTGTGTTACCGCGCCTGATTTGTGGCGGCCAGATAATGGAGATTGGTACCCTGACGTAGCTCTCGCCAAGAGCTTTCCAATGAGCCCTTGATTGTGAAAATCAAGTGAAGGACACCAAAGTTATGACATGGAGAAGTTGAAAATTGTACTGACATTTTGTAATTCTGGTGCATACTGTGCTAGTAATCCGTCCATAAAGGGTTAATTCCACGAAAAAGTGACAGAAGAGTAGTAATATTTCCACTGAAACTCGCCCAAAGGGTTCTTGGTAGACCGAGGTGTCCGTAAATTCGCATTGGGATCCGGATAACCAAGGTATGAGTGTACATGTATATGTATGAGCTATTCAGTTTTGGCTATACTGGAACCCCCTGTAGAGATCTCTGGATCCGCTCCTGCTGACGCTCCTGGCACGTATGTGTGCATACATGTATGCATGCGTGTGTGTACATGTACGAGTATGTGTGCATTTTGTGTGTGTGTGTGGGGGGGGGGTGGATGCCTTCATGTACTAATGCATGTGAAAATATGTGTGTGTCTGTGTGTTCATGTGTTGTTGTCTTTGAAGGTAGCCTCACACTGGAAGACTTCACAACACTACGGAACACCGTGGAGGAACTAGAGCGTAACTTGGAGACGGTCAGTAACCTTCAGCAGCAACCGGCGGCATCCAATAATCCTAGCGGCAGGGTACAGACGAATAGTGCAGGATTGGATCAACCGGTAAGACTAACATCTACAGTTTCTCATTGGATTGCATAGTTACGGAGAGGGCGGGTGTAGGGGATGGGGGGGGGGGGGGGGTGAGGTGTTGGGTACGCTGTGAGCATGGTGTGTGACAACAGTGTGTTGTCACTGTGTCAGTGTACAGTTTTTAATTTTTTATTGTTTCTGCCTATGTGCTCTGTCATCATAATTCCCATCTACTTTAGGGGGTCGGCAAAGTTGCGAGCTGTTTCTGTGAAAAGATTTTTTATGGACGGGGCATAAGGTGCAATGCGGGAACGTGGGTAGCTACCGTGTTGAAATAAACAGCATTCAGTTTACTGTCTCTTACTCGACTCCTTCCGTGCCAACATATGCTCTGTAAAATGAAATGCCGGAACTGTATGAGAATAGCGCAACTCTCTTGTAACCCAATCATGATCAAGCTGTGTGGGCTGGAAGGTACCATGACCATTCCAGTTATGATAATTGCATATTTCCTGCTCCAAGCAAGTGTGCCTCTCGCCAACAACAGACTTCGATGCAACACCCATAGATGTGACTGGCCGCGTGGCCCAACGGATAAGGCGCCTGACTACGAATCAGGAGATTCCAGGTTCGAATCCTGGCGTGGTCGCATTTTTTCTTGCCTCTCTTTTTGCAGTCTACTTAGGGAGCATCTCATAAGTTCGCATTTATTTTGCAAACGTAACGCATTTCGAATAGACTTTATTTTCTACCTCCCCCCTCTATTCGAAAGTCTTTTCGCACATTTTCTGTGTTTATCTACTGTACACGTCCGTGCCCCATACTATGGTATGCTTATGTACATGATTGTACAGTCATGTACATATACATGTACATGGATATGTCATATGAATGTTTTGCTAGAGCGGTCGTGAATGGCATACAGACTCAGTAGTACTGCATTTACTGAGTACAATTACAAGTACAATCAATGACAGGTACACGCACATAAACATAGTTCCTCCACAACAACTGTACTGCTGTAAACCTGTAAACGCTGGCCAGGTACATGGTTTGATCAGGCTGGATTGACATTTGACACCTCTGAGTAGCCTGCATGCATGCATTGCAAGGGTTAGCTGATCTGCAAACACAGGTAGATCTCCACCTAAACACACTCATTTGCTGCAGGGATCTAGCACGGTAGTAGATTGTACAGTTCCAGAAAATGTGCGAACAGTCATTTTTCTATTCGAAAAGGGCGCTACCCCCCTACCCCCGTTTCGAAATGCGTTACGTTTAGAAACAAAATGCGAACTTATGAGATGCTCCCTTATATAGACTGTGGACAGTTTGCTGAAGGTGTTGAGTAGGTTTTTTTACTGGCGCTGTGTACTGCAGGAATGAAACAAAATGAAAATATCTTTCAATTCACGCGTAGCACCACAACATTGCCCTTCCCTGCAGAGGATTCTCCAAAGGGAAAATAGCATGTACTCTGTAGAGAGAGAGAGAGAGAGAGAGGTCCAGCTCCACATTAAACATAACAAACTCATGCGCAGAATAGGCGCCTAGTTTGCGTAGTTGTTTGTGGCTTCGTTTTTCAGATCCAGATTTCTACGCTAACATTACAATCTCTACATTGTGCCAGTAGACATCTCACTCGGTTTCTTTGCATGAGTGCAGAGCCGAACACTTTATTCGTGATGTGAGAAGACATGAACTAGTGATCTGAAATAGCTCTCTGTGATGCAATGCACAACATCTGCCAATTGCGACAAGGAAATGTTTACCTCGCATGCAGTCGCAAATTTTTTATCGCAGAAGTTGACCAAAGTTCAACTTCTGCGACGGAAGTTGACCAAAGCTCAACTTTTGCGACGTGCGGCACACCTCACATCAATGAAAATTGACTGCGCCAAATTCAAAGCTTTTATTTCATTCTGGAATGGGCCCGATTGTTTTGTTCTTGCTCTTGTTTCAGTGCCAAGGTATTATTGGTTGGCGGTATGTGCCTTGGTCGTCCTGGAGAAGTGGCGAGGATCAGGGCTCGCTGCGGCTGGAGAACTATGTGAAGAAACGTGATGATACGTACCTGAAGATCACCTTCAACAGCGTGCTGATGCAGAATGCACACGATCAGTGTGCACAATGGTGAGATAGTGCTTGGCTAGTGCAATGTGTGCTGTGTCAGGGAGCTTTAACAAAACTGATGTTGACTTGGAAGTCAGCTGGACAGTCAAGAAACATGAGGTACTGGGTTAAACAGTAACCATTTGGATCTACAGTGCTGCTCAATGTAGTACAGGTGTACTTGAGGCTCGATGAGGAATGCAAGAGAACTTTCAGGGGCGGATTCAGGCGGGGTACCAGGGGTTTCGCGGAACCCCAAAATTCCGTCAATGTACTACTGGCAACCATATGCGTGTCCATGTATAAGTGTCAGCTATTCAGTTTGACTCTACTGGAACCCCCCTGTAGTCGGAAATCGCTGGATCCGCCGCTGAACGTTCATTCCCTGTGGGGTGCATATGTAAAGCTAATGCGATATTTGGGCTTCCAAAGCTGTGATTAATTAGTCTAAATGGTACTCGACCCAACTGTGGGATACCTTGCAGTGTGGTGTACCCTTGACATAGCAGCGTTAAGCCGTGCTTCGAAACCGCAACTTCCATTACGCGACATCGGGAATTTTTTAGCAGCTTCTGTGACGAATAACGTGAAAAAATGCTAAAGAAAATAATACACAATGCTGTCCAATGAAATCGGACCGTTCGTGTCAAGTCCGCGCCCTGCACCAGTTTACATCCCAGTGTTCACAGATCTAGGTCTGCACAGAGCCCGGTGTGGCATACTTGACCCACGCAATCAGATTTCATTGACCAGCTCTGTAGTTGATGTATAAATCTTCAATGCACATCAGGCAATGGTAGAATGTATGGAGATAAAGCAGGTTCCCGTATTATAATATTATAACCATGGGGGGTGTATCACCATGGCTGCCAAATCCACGGCTGGGCTAGGCTGTGTTTGGGGTGCCAGACTACGATTGCGATATGCATACATTTCCACACAGATAGGGTAGAGCTTCTACATCTGATACGGCGTCGAGACGCGATTCTTTCGCTTGTTGAGGTCTCGCGTCGTCGTCCTGGATGCAACGAGTGCCATGTGGCTGTAAAATGAATCTCGCATGCTGATTATGGAATATGTCCGAGATGTTCAGGTTGAAATAGTGCATGGAATCTCGCTCTGTGTTTTCTTACTTTGCCTTGTACAGGTCTATTCATGTTGATGGGAAGAACTGCTCTGAACCCGCCCCCATACAGACTGTTATTCACACGTTTCACAGCCAGGAACACAACAATTATGCTGATCGGCGACCGGCTCAGGTAATATGCCCAAGAAACACTGTGGCATGATTTGCAATGCATGGGTATCCATGTGAGTGAGCTTTGGAGTTGAACTTTGGTGTGAATTTTCCAAAATAGTTGGGATTTCAAAAAGAGTTGAGAGAAAGAAAGTGAGATATAAAGGTAAAATGTTCTTGAAATCAACACATTCAATAGACGTCAAGGGTTGAAATAATTAAACCTGATGATTTCTCACCGTATCTTCAAAGGTTGCGTGGGACTTCTGCCAAAGAATGATGCAGTAAAAAATCCGCCAAGGGTTAACCGAACCCATCAGGGCTCGAGATAGGAGTTGCACCAAGAATCTCGGTGCTACAAGGCACTAGCAGTATGAACAAGTTGTTTTTCTCCAATAATGCCGGGCATTTACGACTTCATTTGCACAAACTGTACTAGTTCGTTGGCGAGTCATCCCCCCCCCCCCCCCCCCCATCCTCCTTTATTATCTCCTCCATACTGAACTAATCTACTCTTTTGTCTTTGCCATGTGCTTGATTTCTGCTCAGGTTATGGGAATGTGCCGTGCATCAGACAGAGGTCCACTGCTGCGCGGTTCTCACGCAATTTCCGTTCACGTAGGCACATGCCCAGGGTATGATAGTGCAGATGCCAGTACGGGTTGGGCGGACGGTTTGACCAGTTTTCTCATGGTGGAGGAGTACTGTCCACCCAACTAAGAGTTTTGTGGCTTGGCCGAGCTGGATATGACTGCCTTGTTTCCCTAACAAACACATGGACTGTGTGTGTTTGTGTGTGTGTGTGTGTGTGTGTGTGTGTGTGTGTGTGTGTGTGTGTGTGTGTGTGTGTGTGTGTGTGTGCGTGCGTGCGTGTGTGTGCGTGTGTGTGTGTGTGTGTGCGTGTGTGCTGGCTTCCGCTAGCAACTCTCCCACAGTAAATGTACCTGACATAGACTAGCTGGTGATGTATTGCTCATTTACCAACATGATAATGAAACCGGTTCATGTTCACAAGTCCAGGAGAGTGCTTCCCATTCAGGGTGCCTCTGCCTCACCGATGAAAATTACGTACATGAAGGGATAGCCTTATTTCTTGTATGACACCAGGCGCTTAACTAGTTCTGAACGCTGGACCAAGTAAGGTCCATTGCAATAATGCAAAATGAGGTGACAGGTTGTCTAAGTAGTCTTGGCTAGTGATGAAGGATGCTGTGCACGTGGATGCTTTCTGACAGTTTGTTTTGCCCTATCCCTGTTTTCATAGTTGATTTGATTGCATTCCTAGGCAAGCACAATTAGTGTATGCTCTCACTATGGTCACATTCTGTGTTCATTCTTCATAACCATCCCAACCATCGCATAGGTTCTCATGTATCGAAGCACGCATACACACGCTTTTTTTTGTATTTGGAATACTAACAGTAAACACTGGAAATGTTGGAGCCTCTTTTGAGTTTCCTTCTCCTTTCTGTGACGCCAACTTCCCTTTACGGTTATGCTATCTTGTTGATCATGGTGTAGCGGCTGACTCAGTTGAATGTTTCTGGCCATGGTGCGTGCTTGTGTATTCCTGCATTCACTCGCGTGCATTGTGTATGGGTATGTGGGGGGGGGGGGGAGTGCACATGTGATATGGGTGTGCCTTGCATTATTTTGAATGTTGTTGAGATTATATTTTATATCGCAGACCAAACGGGCAATGATGCCCAATATTATGATGGCGATAAAGGAACGGCCAGAAGCCAAGGATACAAAAAGCGTCCACGAAAGAGAGAAAAACACAGACTGCAAATACTCAAAAAGATTAAAGAGGACAAATGTAGAAGAAAAGATAAGAAAGAAAAAAATGCATGCATCATGCCATGGTTGTTGTTGGGGGTGGGGATGGGTGGCGGGGGCATTCCCTGTTTAATTATGGCTATGAGCATGGCATTTGTTCCGTCATGTCCTCTATTCCTGCCCAACCCATAGGGACTGTACAACAGTTCAATAGTCGTTAGGTGTCTTGAAGCCCAGCCACGCCAGGTACTCTGTAATTATCTCTTGATCCTCGATCCTGCAGTCATCATTTACGAAAATTTGTCATGATCCGGATTATTATCTCGGTCCCCCTACCGGCGGATTGTCATGCTGACCTTCTCGCAAGGATGTTCATGGGGCTAGAGCAAAGCGAGACTGGGAGACTTTGGTGTGATTGGAATTTCAATCTACTGTAATGTATCTAGTCTACGTTTCATGATAGACACCCAATTTCACCCTGGGGTCGAGCGGCCTCAGATCAGCAAAGGGTCTCAGGAAGTGACAATGTTGGCGTCACTATGGGTGTGGGTGCGCGCGTGTGTGTTACCCTGGGAAAAGTGTCATGTTGAATGACCTTGCCTCATCTAGCCATTGATTGGCACTGATATAGGCCAAACCATGTGTTCCGAAAGATTGATTAGTACTCGTTATCAACAACGAACAGATGTCCACATTGAGATCGAATCTCCGCACAGATGCATTGCTCGGCGCCTGGGTCATAACCACGTGCTAACCACCATACGTGCACCAGCTCGCACTAGTATTTCGAAGCACATGACAGTCATAGCATTGAAGGATTGTTGATCGTTTGGACGAACCGCCAGTGGACACATTGCCCAAGCCTGTGAAGAGGGATGGCTGAGTACGGTTACCTATTGAACAATAATTATGCTGAACATGCGGGTGACCAACACCATGCGACCTTGTCATGGATTGGTGGACATGGTGCGGCTGCTAAGTTAGAACCAGCTAACCAGTACACCCTGGTCGTGTCCTACACAATGCGTCGATACAGCCGGGTCAACAGTGACAACAGTTGCTAACGATAGAGTGTGTTCGTCAATCTGTGATCCGCACCCACAGGGAGCGCTCGCTGGGAACATCACAATCCTTACTAAGTTAGTCGTGCTTCGCCTGTCAAAGTGTCAATACTACTGTCATTATGGGTGCAGTGAGTCCCACGGCAACGCATGGAAGGTAACCATTCCTTCATTCCATTTTACGTGCGAAAACCGCGAACAATGCCGGTATAATTTTAAAGAACGATATTATTGCACCAATTAACCTCGCGAAAAGCAACCTCGGATGTAACAACTCGTGACTAATGCCGGTACTAGTAATACCTGGAGAAAAATTGCATGATGAGGTTCGCTTTTGGTAAGGTCGACTGTACAGATGGAAACAATCATGTGCTCCCCGACTACCCCAAGTTTCTCCAACTCTGACTACACGTACTTTACCCTTTAGTCGACATGGCCTTAATTTGCCTATACATGTACATGTACATGTATAGGCAAATTACTCAATCTGCGGACAGCATGCTGTTTCGTTCTTTGTGAACTCATCAGCGCAGCACAGGGGAAATGAGGCCGAACCTGATAGCAATGGAAATAAAAATTTCCAATCAGGCCCGAACGTACCTTGCCAGAGTGCTCAAACTGACAAGTCAGTGAGCTCTGTCAGTGTATCTATAATTATGTGTATCCATAATTATGTTACTTTTACGAATACATTGTACAGCGTTACCTACCGAGCACTACGGAATCCTTAAATGCGCGGGATGACATTTCTAAAGGTCACATGGCCGTGTAAATTCGTGGAGTCTTCGGAGTTTGGACCCTCGGGATATGCAGCAGAGATTGTGCTGATTGATAGTTCACACGGTCGACAGTGTCAGTGGTTCATGTTGATCAACCAAGATACGGTTATGATACCATTGAATCGATCCTCGGTTTACAGTGCATCCAACGGCATGGCATCGCGCTGTCCTGTGTGTAGAGGCTCTCGTGTGCCCTGCCACTAGCGAACACAGTGTACAAGGGGAGTGGTCAAGTTGATGTGTTCTGATACATTGTATATTATGTACGTGGAGAAACAGCTCCTTGTTTTCGACAGTCTGATGTCCGATGAGGAGAATGAACAGGTCGATCGCTACGGACTAAAGAGCCATGTCAAGTCGTACCTCTGCAAGTACTACTACTACTACTACTACTACAGGTGAAATCCTGATAATTCGAACCTCAAAATGCCAGGAAAAAACTTCTAATTATCAGGACATTCTAATTATCCAAACATGAACCCACAACACGATATGTATGTCAGAATGCTCTCATGGTCACGCAGAGTTGCGCTATGGACCTTAGACACAAATTTTACGGACACTGAACTGACCTGCACAGCCTGCTCGTGCAAACTGAACTGACCAGTACAGTGTACAGTGAACTTCGAATTACACTTTGCTAACTTCGAATTATCAGCACAAATCCCACCCATTTTCTATGTAAGTGGAATCTGTGGGACTTCTAATTAACCGGACATGTCCAGTTCGAGGTTCGAATTATCAGACATTTTTATGTGGGAATCGTATTGATAGAAATCGGTCCTGGAAAAACTTCTAATTAAGCGGGATGTTCGAAGCCATATTCGAATTATCAGGATTCCACCTGTACTACTACTACTACTACTACTAGTGTGGGTGAAAATCAATGAACAGTGTACATTTACCTCATGTACTTGGTTTGATATTGACAAGCATTGTACAAAACTTCAAAAGGCAGAACGGAGCCGTTAGCAATACGCTACAGTCAGTGTTCCTGGATGTACTCTTGCTTAGAATTAGATTACTACAGTTCGTGTACTGTACCGTAATTCGGTACACATGAAAACGCTACCTTGGCATCTTCCGTGGGCGCCCGGGCTGTATGTTTGACAGAATATGACAGACAAACAGGCTGCAGTCTAGTCTTCAGATGTCTGGGTACACAGTGCATACACAAAAGTCATGTACAAGCACCAGTATGTGGGTGGTAATACAGCAATATGCATGCTTGTCAGGAATGTTTGCACCTACATGTACATGTATCACTCAGTAGCTAGTACAGTCATGTATTATCACACCAAGACTTATTTTTCCACTATGAGTCTGGTGTCTGCATGTACAATTTACATGTACATGACTGTATGCATTACAAATCACCTACATGTACATGTGCATCTTACGAACGTGTACGCAAGGAGGCTGAGACTTCATGCCATGCTCAGCTGAGCTCCAGGTCCTCGTAACCACATGCTCCTATAATTTGAGTTGTGGCTTTTGTATAATAATAATAATAATAAAGAGAGAGAGAGAGAGAGAGAAAGAGAGAAAGAGAGAGAGAGAGAGAGAGAGAGAGAGAGAGAGAGAGAGAGAGAGATAGAGAGAGAGGGAGAGAGAGAGAGAGAGAGAGAGAGAGAGAGAGAGAGAGAGAGAGAGAGAGAGAGAGAGAGAGAGAGAGAGAGAGAGAGAGAGAGAGAGAGAGAGAGAGAGAGAGAGAGAGAGAGAGAGAGAGAGAGAGAGAGAGAGAGAGAGAGAGAGAGAGAGAGAGAGAGAGAGAGAGAGAGAGAGAGAGAGAGAGAGAGAGAGTGAACGAAAGGAAGAGAGGAAGCTGTGTTGCAACTCCGAGCTTCACATAGTCACGATCATCAGGTAACTGATGGCTGCAAAACGGGCAGCCTGAATTTTAGAGGAAGGAAGGTGACAATTACTGAGGGGAACATCGCGTAAGAGTCAGGTGCAGGCGGGAAGCGTACATGATCACAATTCTGCGTAGACAAGTCGGTAGGTTCGGTGGTCAGCCGTAACGAGTGATGATGTTGTCCACCTGCCACAACAACATCATCTTCTAGGCATAAAATGTAGGAAATGTTAGCTACTTCAGTTACTTAGTACACGTACATGTATACGACATGTTGTCTGAAGATTGCCTTAGCTTTGCTATGTGCATAAAACGCAGCGTTACAGCAATGACCTAGCCGGCTGTCTCTCTTCTCTTCTGGCTTTGTGGTAATGCTCCATCCTTGTGGTGTGTGAAAGAAGGAAGACATGTATTGTATTTTATCTGTACAGCGGGACCCTTATAGACTGAATCGTTCAATTCTCTCACGTTGACCTGCAATTCGTAACACAAAGCGGATAAGAATTCTCAACAAACAATGTTGGGATGGGGAGGGGAGTCTTCAAGGGAGCTACATGTAGTAAATTTTGCAAGACCATTTGAATACCGATCATGGGCTTCGGTGGTATTCAATACCCGAGACTAAATCTCTTGGTTTGAAGTGGGGTGTGTTTGTTTATCAGCAGGCGCGTGTCTGTATCCGCGTCTGGATTTACATTTTACCTACCGATGTGTTCTTCGCTCTCAGCTGTGCAGATGCAACGCTGCTCTCCAGGTGGCCTTATAGAACGCCGAGGTGTGATCGTGTGAACCTGTGCTTAAACTTAAAGAAGTCATTAATTTTGGACCTGTGTTTTGTAAACAAGGCGGGTACATATCTCACACACGTTGCCCATTCGACCGCAGAATTTTGCGCATGCATAACCCTCTACTCATTTCACCTTACAATCTAAGAGTACGTGGTCACTACGAGATTCCAGCGACATTGCGCTATGTATTATTCACTTTGCCGTCGGTTTACGTCAAAGTAAGGTATTGGCTCAGTTATTTTCAGACTTGCAGACTTACGGCCTGC